CTCGCCTCTCTCTTCTCCTCGCCTCTCTCTTCTCCTCGCCTCTCTCTTCTCCTCGCCTCTCTCTTCTCCTCGCCTCTCTCTTCTCCTCGCCTCTTTCTTCTCCTCGCCTCTCTCTCCTCCTTGCCCTTCCTGCTATTGCACCCTGTGTTCTACGTTATTTCTACTCTCTCATCGATCGGTGAACCCTACAACAACTCATCCATATCATCGCCATCTTACCCTTCAACATGCCAGCCAAGGATCGACCTCAGCGCTCGGCGACAGCCAAGGGCATCAAGAAGAACAAGACAACGCTCGTGGTCGGACTCGACTTTGGCACAACGTATGCCACCCTTCCAGTGGAATCCTCATAGCACTGACCGTGACTCCCTGCAGTTTCTCCGGGGTTGCGTACGCTCTTTCGACAAATCCTGAGCAAATAAGCATCGTATCGCGCTGGAAGGGCGAGCTGTACTATCAAACCAAGGATAAGCAAAAGGTGCCCAGCGTTATTGCATACGATAAGTCTGGTCAGCCCGCCGCCTGGGGCTACGAGATTCAATACTCGCATACGCCGCTTAAGTGGCTCAAGCTGCTGCTCGTGGAGGAGGATGAGCTCCCGCGACACCTATCCAGCTCCGCCGAGTATAAATCCTTGAAGAAGCAGATCAAAGCACTGTGCAAAAGCCCTGTCGCTATCATCGGCGACTATCTTCGCCTCCTCTGGGCCCACGCCTGGAGCCAGATCAAGGCGGCCCAAGGGGAGTCGTTCGTGGAGGCTTGCAAAATCAAGATCGTCGTCACTCTGCCTGCCATTTGGTCCCCGTGCGCGCAGCAGCGCATGCATGAGGCCATCCAAGTAGCAGGCATTGCTGGTCGACCTGATGACCAGCACGTATCCCTTGACTTTGTGTCGGAGCCCGAGGCGGCTATCCTCGCTTCACTCAAGAGCATGCGGAACCGCGAAGACGTAGAGGTCAGCCGAGGACCCATGTTATCTGCTGCAACTTGCTGATCGGTACACAGGACGGTGACCATTTCGTCATCTGCGACGCAGGCGGAGGTACCGTGGTACGTGCCTATCCATCTATTCTACAGCCGCGAACTGTGCCTGACACGAAACAGGATCTGATCACCTACGTGATCGAAAGCCAAGACCCTCTCGTCGTCAAGGAGAGTGTCCGAGGATCTGGCCTAGTCTGCGGCTCCGTGCACCTCGATGAAGGCTTCGCGACGCTCCTAAAGACCGTCGTGGGACGAGAGGTATACAAGAAAATGCAAGGACCTGGCCTGCACGAATTTATGAACTTGCACTGGGAGAACGGACTCAAGGTGCAATACTTCGGCCGCGACACACCACCATACCCGCTGACGCTGCCTTACTCGGGATCGAAGAGCGAGGGCTTCCGGTCGCCTGAGATTCGAATCCAAGGGTAAGGCGCTTGAAGTTTTAGTCTAATACTGTATATGACTACCGTATAGAACTAATATAAAATAGGTTCGATCTTAAGCCAATCTATGCGAGAATCTTTGAAAAGGTAGCCCGCCTTGTTCAGGGGCAGATTGACAAGGTGGTCGAGGAGTACGACGAGACCCCCAAGGTAAGTAGTCCCGGAAAGTCCAAGACGCAGCTCCTCATGGTGCTATAGTTCCTAATTCTCGTGGGGGGGTTCGGCCAGAGCGAGTACCTTGGGAAGTCCCTCAAGAACAAAGTTCGCGATATTCCCGAGTTCATCCAAGACGCAGGCGAACGTCCGTACGTGAACAGAGACCCCCCCTTTTTTTTGGTCTGAGTTCATCTGCTGACTTACAAATATAGCTGGACTGCCGTCTGCCGGGGCGCCGTCGTCAAGGGTTTAGCAGAGTGCACTGACTCGTCGGATCTTGCAATCATCGTCAACTCGCGCGTTGCTCGTGTCAATTGGGGCACGGTGACCAATATCTCCCCCTTTGAGAACGATGTCCACGACCCTCGGGACAGGGAATGGTGTCCCGTAGAGCAGGAGTGGCAAGCCAAGGACCAGATTAAGTGGTTCATCACGATTGTAAGAGCAAAACCTCGACACCCCCTTGTAGCTTCGCACTGCTGACATCTCTCAGGGACATCCTATCGAGGCGGACCGCCCAATCGTCCATCCTTGCTGGCAAGCGCTGACCAGCGCGGATGAGGAGATTGTGACGGAGATTGTGTATTCGTACAAGACGCTTGAGTTCAAGGACCCAAGGGCGAACGTGACGCGCCGCGATGGCTCGGTCAAGAAGCTCTGCGAGATACGGTGGAAGAACCTGCTGGACAAATACAGGAAGCTGCCCGAGATGCAGACAACGACGGGGCAAAGCTTCCGCCGGCTGGAGTACGATGTGCACCTCACAACACAAGGTGTTTCTCTGGACTTTATCGTGTATCATGAGCACGAGGTCATGGGGCAGGGCAACGTGTCTTTGGATTTTGACGGCGTAGGGCTTGCGGTGAAGGATGAAACGGGGCAATAAAGTGGCTTGCAATGAATAGATACTGGAACTGGCCAGCGATATTGGCTTTCAAGGATGTGCGCACTCGCTAGATATGCGACGGGCAGTCAATGGTTTGATGCCGTGACGGTTTGGGTGCTTGGCATGGTCGGCAGCGACCTCGACCTCGACCTCGACATCGACATCGACATCGACGACATTGCGAAGTCGACTGCACAATACTGACTTTTAGAATTTCCAGGATACACACAATCAATTCGACTTGCTGGAATGGACAAAAATGTGCTTGGTTTGGACAGGGGCGAACTTTAAGTGAAGCAAGGTAAGGTAAGGCAAAGGGCCACCTGTCGCCTGTCTGGTGGAGGAATAATAAGGGGGGACCCTGAATCTGGCGCCCCCCAGAAAATGAAATCTGGTCGCATCTCTACCTACCTGAGTCTCCCAACAGCTCCCTCCCTTCCTCCCTTCTCACTCCTTCGACCACCTCGCATGCCGCCACCATGAAGGTCGCCTACTTTACGCTCGGGCTGCTCGCTCTCGTCAGCCCCGTGCTCGGTGCCTGGAGCAAAGAAGGTGATTGACCCCCAGCCAGTCACGGCCCCAAGCAGGCAGACAGATAGACTGATGCCACTGACACGCCCCCAGACCGTGAAATCTTCCGCATCCGCGACGAAATCTCCGCGCACGAGACAGACCAGGCGGCCACCTTCTACGACATCCTCGGCATCAAGCAGTCGGCCTCGATCGACGACATTACAAAGGCGTACCGCCTCAAGACGCGCTCGCTGCACCCGGACAAGGTCAAGCAGAACCTGCGGGCCGAGAGCAAGAAGAACCCCGGCCAAAAGGCGCCCACGCAGTCGCAGATCAACGCCGCCGTCAAGCAGGCCTCGGCCGCCCAGGCCCGCCTCTCCCTCATCGCCAACATACTGCGCAGCGAGGGCCGTGACCGCTACGACCACTTCCTCGCCAACGGCTTCCCCCTCTGGAAGGGCACCGACTACTACTACAACCGCTACCGCCCCGGTATCGGCACCGTTCTGACCGGCGTCTTCCTCCTCGGTGGCGGCCTCGTGCACTACATCATCCTCTACATGGGCTGGAAGAAGCAAAAGGAGTTTGTCGAGCGCTACGTCAAGTTTGCCCGCGACACCGCCTGGGGCGCGGCGGGCGTCCCCGTCGTCGAGACCCCCGCCGTGCCCACGCCGCCCCCCGAGGACGAGGCCGAGGCCGAGGACGGTCCGCCCCAGCCCATGAACCGCAAGCAGCGCCGCATGCAGGAGAAGGACGCCAAGCGCGAGGGAGGCAAGAAGAGCCGCAAGGCCAAGGGCGCGAGCGCCAATGCCTCGCGCGACGCGTCCCCTGGCCCTACCGGGCGCCGCAAGAGGGTTGTCGCCGAGAACGGCAAGATCCTTGTCGTGGATGAGCTGGGCGACGTCTACCTCGAGGACGAGGACGACGAGGGCAACGTGAACGAGTTCCTCCTTGACGTGAGTCCCCCCCCCCCCCACGGCCCCCTATCGAGGTGCCAAAAATCACTCCACTAACTCCTGCAGCCGAACGAGATTGCCGTGCCAGGGTTCAAGGACACTGCCGTTGTCCGCCTGCCCCTCTGGCTCCTGCGCTCCACGTTTGGACGTCTGCTGCCGCAGTCTGCGCCCGTCATCGAGGAGGAGATTGTCGTCGAGGCGGACGAATCGGACGAGCAGTCCGCGGCGCAACGCACGCCCAGCTCCGACTCGGACTTTGAGATGCTGGACAAGAGCACTGACTCACTGGCCAGGGTGGCCAAAGCCACGGGCGCGCAGTCGGGTGGCAAGGCCAGCAAGAGGAAGAACAAGAAGAGGTAATCGGCAGATGCCGCCGCTGCTGCTGCCTGGGACGCATAACGTTGGGCTCAGCACCTGTGGAGCAAGCGAGATGCAATGTATGCTGTGGCCCTCTCGGGGCCCGGTCGTCCAGTTGGGCCACGCACGGGTGGATATTATCTCCAGCAAACTACTCATAGATACAGGCAGAAAAGGACAGAAAAAGGCACTAAAAGGTGGTGTATTGAAAATTCGAGTCATTCAAACAAAGATGACTCTTTGTGTGCTGTGCTGTCCAACTCGGTGTGCACACAGCGACCATGTCGTGTCCAGTCGTTGGTTGCATCGTCGTCCATTGCTTCGTCCCCATCTCGAATGGCCAGCGTGTGCCACGACGACTGCCCTTGACCGAGGACGAGTACGGATAGCGACATGCAAATGATAAATAATAAAGACATGTGGTACGCCTCACATAGGGGAGTAGACGCTACGATCATACTTTATTTAAGCGCATACACGATCTAAACCCCTGCAGCCGCCCCTCGCGCTGCTGCTGCTGCTGCTCCTCCCCTCCGCCGAGTCTACATTCGTAGTCAGTCTCCTCATTGCTCGACGAACAACCCCTGACTGGCAGCCCCAAGGCCCTCCCTCAACTCTTGAGTCTCGACTTGTCAAGCATCCATCAGGTAACGCTCACTGGCCAAGCCAGAACGATCCCTGCAGCTGGCAGTCCAGGTGGAGTCTGCCGGCTCCCGCATCCCAGCCTCCGAATTTACGGTGAGCGAGCGAGCGAGCGAGCGTCTCTCCACTCGCCTCTGGATAACCAATCCATCTTCCTCTGCATTGCTTGCTTGCTCGCATCTGCATTTGCGTCTGCGTCTGCGTCTGCGTCTGCATCTTGTGCTTTCCCGACGACGCAGCAGACAGTTTTTGGCCCGTTCTCGTTCGATTCGTCAATTGACCCACGACAATCGAGACCAAGCATCCAGTCCAGGCCTCATCAAAACCATTGCGCTGCTTTGCAAGTCAAGCATTGATCGCATTGATAACAAGACCAGCATAGCCAGGACCACCCCCACAGGCCACAAGGACCCCTCTGTCGCTCCACCTGTCTGTTCATCGTCCTGTCCCTCCATCGCCCAAGCAGCCAGCACCCCCAACGACAAGACAGAAACACACTCTCCCTCCTCCCAACCAGCGCAATGGGCTTCCTCGACCCATGGGGTGACGGCACCTCCGTCGTGTCAGGCGGCCTCTCCCGGCCATCCGCCTCCAAGCGTCACCGCTCCCGCTCCCGCCAGCCCACCGAGAAGAGGAAGAAGCGCTCCCGCAGCCGCTCCTCGTCGCGCCATCGCAGCAGCAAGGGCCACTCGTACGGGCCCGGCGCCGCCCTCGGCGCCGGCCTCTCCAGCTTCTTTGGCAACAATGACTCCCACTACCACAAGCACTCCAAGTCTAGCGCCAGCTTCTTTGGCCTCGGCGCCGACAGGAACGCCTCGCGCGGCAGCTTCTTTGGCTCCAGTACGTGCTTCGTCTGTCGCCGTAGGGCACACAGCAAGACCAACTAACACACGCAGGCAAACCGTCGTACTACAAACGCTCCTCCCGCCATGGCTTCCTCCACAAGACGTACAAACACCTGAAGCGCCTCCTCCGGGACCTTACCCACTGGGCTAAGCGCCACCCCTGGAAGGTTCTCATCATGGTCCTCATGCCCCTCGTCACCGGCGGCGCCCTGGCCGCCCTGCTCGCCCGCTTCGGCCTGCGCCTGTCCCCCGCCCTCGAGAGGCTGCTCGGCCTCGCCAGCAAGGCCGTCACCGGGGACGCCGGCGGCTTCATGGGCGACGCCGTGCGCTTCGCGGGCGACTCCTTCTCCGGCGGCCAGACCAAGACCACCGTCCGGGTCAACGACGGCGGCAGGGCCACCACTGGCTGGGAGCAGTCCTACTCGAGCGGCAGTGGTGCGCTCAATGGCACCATTGCGGGCGTGGCCAAGATGTTCATCTAGCCTCACGTGGTCCGCTGCGGCGTTTACTCTGTCATGATAGTATTTTGGGTTTGGCGTTTGGGTTATCATCACCACCAGTTCGATCGTTGTAGAGCGGTAGGGCTGACGCCCGCTGCTGCTCCATCGATTCCTTCTTTCCTTACGATAGCTACGACTGAGACGATATATCAAACTATGGGCAGGAGATCTCAACATTCATGGCTCCGGGTCCCTGATGCGTGATCTGGTGGTCTTCGACCACATTGTAATTCACGCAGTCATCGAACCACTCCTGGAGAGTAAGTGCCTGTCAGTCACGAAACATCGCGTCCACAAATCCTCTTGCCACCCACTGTTTTGTTCAAAAACCTTAACGGCCTATTGCCTTTGTAATTGCTGGTGGAGGTCATGATGCTAAATCGTCAAACGCCTGTTCCATGTCCCCGCTATGGCTTTGGTGGGCGTCTCCTTGACCTGTTTGTCGTCACAGGAGCGCTCGCCAGAAGCTGGGCCGTTGTCCGACCCCAAAAATGTTCTCGCAAATATACAGTGTGACTCCCAGTTCCATATACATTCATCAGACATGCGGTCAATGCCGCCTCAGGCTGGCTGGCTTAGCTCATTGAGTTTGGATGCCTTCTTCCTTTGGCTTCCAGAATTGCACGAGGCGGCCAAGACGTTTCGTGCGGCTGCCGCGCGTCTTCTTGGCCTCCCCCTCGGCGTCCATGGGCACTTCCATCGACAACTTGCTCCTCTCGCCGTGGGAACTGCTGATCAAACGGCTCAGGCTGACCAGACTTGATCGGCGACGGCCGAACGCTGCAGACGACACGGATAACGGGCGGGGTTCGCGAAGTGTAGGCTGCGACATGCGTGCCTGGGGTGGATACTGACTGTCCCTCGTCATGATGGAGTTGCTCGATGTCAGCGACGGAACGTCGTAATCCACCGACAGGCGCACTTCTGGACCGGGCTCGCCCATGAGCAACGAGCGGAAGCTGTTGTCCTCGTGCACAGACGACGGCGCTGTTGAAAGCCGCTGTGTATCCGGTGACATGGGCGAGCGAGGCGAAGACGAGTAGCTCACCGAGTAGGGGCTTGTGGGAACGGCGCTGGGTGCGGGTGGCGCCGGTAGCTGAAACGTGGGTAGCTCCCGCGTCCCAGAAGCCTGCCTCGGCGAAAGGCGAGGCGACACGGACGCTTCCGACCCGCCCTCAAATACGTTGTGGGTGCGAAAGCGAACGACGGGCTCTTCTAGAATGACGCTCTCGTGCATCGAGTTTTTGGACCGCTGCGCGCGGATCGACTGCATGCTGGACTGGTCCCTGTCGCTCATCCCGGAGCTCTTGCGGCGAACGCTGCGTGCCGGCTCCTGGGGAGGCTCGGGTGCCAATGCTGGTGCCACTGCTGGTGCCACTGCTGGGGGCGTTGCGTCGTTGTCAGACTCCTGCTCCGAAATCGTCGGGGGTTTCGAGTGACGGCTGGCAGTGTCGTCGTACACCTCCTCTTCCTCCTCCTCGAAAACGTCCGCCATGGTGGAGCTACTCGCAAACCGGTGGATGCTCGAGGGGCCCATTTCGAAGGGCGGCAAGTCAGGGGCAGATTCCGCTCTCCTGTGATAGTGCATCCCCGGTCCGCTGAACCCACGCATGCCTTGTGCACTGTGCAGCCGACGTCTGCCGGCATTGCCAGCGGCCCTCTGTGCAGCATCCCACTCGGGATTGTTTCCCAAAGGAGTGTTGAACGGGCCAAGAGCAGCGTCAAGGTCAATCATGGGCGACGATATGTCCTCAGCTTTTCGAGAAGAAGTTGGTCTCGGAGGCGTGGGCGATTCAGTGATCAAGACGGTAGGCGGGGCTGGTGACGGCTGGTCGTCGATATCCATCGCATCATCGTCTTCTTCCAAGGCCACCGCGGAGGCAGGAGGCGTAGGGGGGCGAACAGCATATTTGGAGCGTTTATCGTCTTTCTGTTTGCGGGGCAGAATCGAGCCCGCCCAGCCCTTGACTATCTTTCGCTTCTTGCTCTTCTTCTTGTCAGCCTTGGAACTGTGCTCCTCGGTAGGTGAATCCGAGCCAAGGTCGGATGAGGAAGTTCCAGATACGACCCGCGTAGCTGATTCGGCGGAAGAGGCACTGTGTGGGCGATTCTTGTTAGGAGGGCCGTGCCCTGCGAAAGGGTCCAGTCCAAAGAAGGTCCAACGCTTGGACTTGGTCGGGCTCGGTGTTGGCGGCTCTGAGACAGTGCTGGCTGTGAGTTCCGCAATGGCAGGGATAGAATTGCGGCGGCGAGGCGGTGCATTTTGCCCATCTGGTTGGAGTGTAGGAGCGCGCTCGAGGATGGCGCCTGCTGTGCTTGGTCGCGAGTCAGGGCCCTGTGAGGGGCTACGTGATCGAGACGCCGGACTCTCGCGTCCTGTCGGTGAGCTTCCAGGCACGGGTGAGGAATGGCTCCCGGAGACTGTGTGACTCGGTCTGGCGGTGATTGTACTGGAGGTGTCGGTTGACACCAATGAGAGTGGTCGAGGGATGAACTCGAGAGTGTCGGAAAATCCAACGCGAGCGCGCGATGCTGGCTTGGGAGGTGGCAGGTCGTCCTCCTCGTTGCCCGACGTGTTCTCAGCAGGCGGAGGGATGGGCGCCGGAGTCCGCTCGAAATCGGTAGGCGAGTTAGGCGCACTGCTTCCCTTGAATGAGAAATCCTGTTGTGGAGGAGGCAGCAGGGACAGGTCGTTCGTTGACAGGGCCGAAGAAACACCACGTCGGTGACCTCTGCGTGGAGGCGCCAGATTCACCGAGGAGCCGAATTCCGACTTGACAGGGCTGGTGCCCATCACGGCAATGGAATTACCTTCACGAATCCTTCCTCCCACAAACTCGCTGCCTCCTCGTCGATGACCATGCTTGGGCCTGTCACCTGAGGGCAGGACTCTGGGAGACTGAGGGGACAGAGGCGGGCTCATAGCGGGTGCCAGTGGATCGACTGGCAGGGAGGCTCCTGGGTTGAAGCTGAAGGCCGGCAGCGCAACACGACCAGCTGATCTCTCCGTCGCCAAGTGATAAGACTGCGTCGAGTTCTCAATGGCTGACATTGGGCGTCTCCTGGATGTCCTAGCTGGTCGGGCACGGTCGAGCGTCGTGCCATCGGGGCTCGCAGGCGCAGCTGGGAAGCTGAAGGTGGGATTGGGAGGTGCCTGGCGGTGCCCCGGCTCGGGCGCACCCATGTTGTCGATGAGGGGGGCCCTCAGGTTCGCCTCAGGTCCGTACGCTGAAGCCATGGTAACCTCCAGCCGAACCGCGGCACAGGACTGCTGGGCGGCTAGGCAGTCGGATCAATCATAAGAATAGGCGGAAGTGATGGCAATGCTCGAGGTCAAGGTCGAGGTCGAGGGCTGAGACGACACTGGTTTGCACTGATCGCTTCCTAATTGTGTATCGAGGACAAGAGGGTTCGGGAGTCTGAATATGCACACTGATAATTATTTGAGCTGTGATCCAATGTGAGTCTTCTGCTGCAGCAAAGCAAGAATAATGATCCATCTGGCGAGGCGTACCTGAATGGGAGAACAGCGAAGACGAACGAGACAGGCAGGCATTCAAAAAGCACTGTAGCAGCAAACAAAGGAGCGGACGGCCAAGACCAGCAGACAACTCAAAAAGAGAGAAGCAGACTGGAATCGCACCAGGCGTTGAAATCATCAACGAAGAGAAACACGCACGAGCGCGGCGAGGATAGAGGGCCGCGACGTCGACTGGTGAGTGTGGATGCGAGAAGTTGAGGAGAGGAGGAATGAATGTCGGGACTGGAGCCAGTCAGTCAACGGAGAGTGCGCACCGCCAGGCCTGGGGGGACGACGGGTGGGCGGTCGTGATAAGGAAGGGCGCCTGCCTCGTCAAGACTCAAGAGCGCCCGGAAATGGGAAGTGGATCCCCAGTGGAGCCAGGTCAGTCACTGTGCTGAGTGCGCTCAGTGTGCTCAGCCAGCCCAGACACGAAAGACCGCTGGGCGACACTGGACGCAGAAGCAAAAAGCGGGTTCTTCTGGGGGGGCAGTATCGAAATCCGCTTTTGTTTTCGGTCCCCAAGATCCTTGCTGCACGCTTACCACGCTTGGCCCGACTCGACCGGGGTGCTCGATGTCTAGCGGTTGTAACATCAACTTGTCCCTCGCATATTGTTAGCGTGGATCACCATTATCCGTCCGTACGACTCACGAGCGACTGAAGTGCCTCGAGCTTCGACAGTCGAGATGGTCACTCTTTCAAATATTAGGTTGCTCTAGTCGGTGTGTTGAGATTTAAGTTTCGCGGCGGGCGCCACATTCTCCCGTCAGTAACCGCTGATCGAAATTGCCCGTCGTTTGACAGAACCAGCCAAGTAGGCTGAGAGATGTGCGCATTCTCTTTGGCGACAGCCACGCCCTAATAAGTTATTACTTGTAAGCCTGCGGAGTGGCCGGCCTCGATTACCACCACTACGTACAAACAAACTCACTGCTCACGGACCTAGCCAAGGATCTTCTGAAGACTCATCTTCACGGGTCTGCCAGGGCCATTCTAGACCGACACACTGAGTGACCATGTATGTTGCAGCTCGTCATGAGCAATGGAATTGAAGATTTCCCGCACTTTCTCGGCAGCATGGCCACTGTCCGCGTTTCTACATGATAAATGAGTTACTCGTGCCGCGCCCCACCTCTTAGGTGGTGCTGGACACACCAACGGGCAGATCACACCAACGGCCACTTTTCACCACGATCAACATATTCTCGCGATAATGTCCTAGCTAACACGTTCAGAGCCTATATCGGCTATTGAAATACGCACTCAAGAAGCACTTCAATATCTTGAGCAAAATCCTGACGCAAAATTAGCTACGATTGCGAGACAATTCGATGTCCCGCGTGGTCGCTTAAGGCGCCGTCGCGTCGGTGTGCTAACGCGTTTTAACCGCCCTACCTTTAACACAAAGCTATCAAGAGAGGAAGAAGTTGCTATTTGTCGCTATATCGATCGTCTTGATAGTATTAACTTTGCCGTGCGCGCTGAGTTTATTACGGATGCTGCCAACAACCTTCTAGCCGAGGGATGCGGGCCTGACTATATCGAGACTGTCGGCACACGTTGGACCACCCGCTTCATTCAGCGCCACGGTTATATAAGGCTTCTTTAACGAAAGATTGATATTAATAGGAAGGCTGCAGAAAATACACAACGAACGCGCGAATACTTTGAAAGGCTACGTCAGGTCATAGCCCTACACGGGATCCCACCAGAAGATATTTGGAATATGGATAAGACAGGCTTTCGGATTGGCATCGGCAAGGACCAATTTATCGTGACCAAGCGCAAGAGGCTTTATCTCTTTGGCATGCCTAAGAATAGGGAGTCTGCCACGGCGATAGAGTGTATATCTGCTGCTGGCGTTGTGATCCCGGCCTTCTTGATTCTTTCGGGACAGGTACACATAGATCAGTGGTATCGGCTATCTGAGCTAAGCCCTCACACGAAGATCACGCTATCATCATCAGGCTATTCAAACGATCAAATAGCCCTATCGTGGATCAAGCACTTCGACGAGCACACTGCCGGCGCGGCCATATTAGCGTATCGTCTTCTAGTCATCGATGGTCACGGGTCTCACCACACAAAGGAATTTATCGGCTATTGCGCAAAGAAAAGGATCATCCCCTTCGCTCTTCCTCCACACCTCACATATCTATTGCAACCGCTAGATGTGGTTGTCTTCCAGCCATTGAAACACTATCACGCTAAGGCTCTTGATGTGATAATTCGGGACGGCGTGGTCAACGTAACGAAGCTCGAATTTCTCTCGCTAATTGAGGGCGTGCGCAGACAAGCATTCACAGCCAAGACGATAAAATCAGCCTTCAAGAAGACCGGTATCTGGCCCTTCGACCCTGATCTTGTGATTAGGGCTGTTGAAGAGCGTGAGGCTGCCCTACGGACTCCATCGCCACAGCCCTCATTGCTAGCTTCATCGGACTTCGAGACTCCTGTCACGCTACGGCAGATTAATAAGGTGGCCAACCGGATTGGCGAGGCCCTTCATGAGATAGATGACGACCTCGATAACGACTTTTCTTGGGATATAGACCGCTTTATCCGCGCCGCCCTCATAACAGCCGCAGAGCTTGTACAAGTGAAGAGGGACCTATCGCGGACTAAGAAGGCCGAATTAATGCAGCGCCAACGCCGGGCGATGAAGAATCGGCCTCTTCAATCAGGGGGCGTGCTAACGGTCGCAGAAGCCCGTGATATGGTGGTCCAACGCGATGAGGATGCTTTGGTGAAGGCCCAACGGCTCGTGGATGCTGCCCAAAAGAAGCTACGTAACTTATACAAACGGAATGCCGAAGGAGCCGCCAAAAAGGCTCGTAAATAGCGTATGGATAAGGTCACGGATACGCTCGAGGTTTATGACGAAAATGGTGTGCGTTATATTAGAAGGGGTTAATTACATCGCGATCTTCATCAAAGTGGCCGTTGGTGTGATCTGGCCGTTGGTGTGTCCAGCACCACCTAAGAGGTGGGGCGCGGCACGAGTAGTGCCTGGATGGATGAAGTCGGGCCAACAAACGAACTCAGCTTTCGTTGGAACGGAACAATAACGCTGGGTGCCCAGGCGCTAGACCGCCGTTGCTTTAACGAGGCTGCCTCTCATTGGGTGACATGAGCGTGCCCAGACCACACTCCAATGTCAGCTGCGCGTGCCTGCAGATGCATGTTTTTATGCAGCTCACCCTCTCCCCCTTCTCCTTCCTTGCTTGCTTGCATGGGTTACTTGTGCTGCCTCTCAGGACTGGCTGAAGGGGGTACGACATACATACATGGTAGAGCCACCACCATTGGCCAGTCGAACGACCTGCGTTGTTATTGCTCAACAAGGCGGTGGGCTCGGCCTCGCCCTATGCGGCCATTGTTGCATTATCATCATGAAAGTGAAGAGACCAATACTTATTAACAGAGTGTCTCGTTGCCGCGTTTCACCCGCTAATCGCCAGTGAAGATATGCAAATGCCGGCTATCACGGTGCCCATACCCAGTGCCCAGCATATGGTTGCTTCATAAGTAGGCATGTGTCTGCAAGGCACAATGTACGCGCATGGCCGTCGGGAGCGGAGGCTGCTTAGCGATTGAGCAACGTATTGTCGTCCACGACGGTGGCCATCACAATTGGGTGGTTGTATCTAGATGATAGCTCATCAAAGACGACAGACATTTATGAGCAATCAACTTTCTGTGCTGCGTCATTGCTCTAAGTACCAATATCTAGAACTTATTAGCAGGCGGTTCTCATGTGCAACGGTTGATTATTAGGACACTACCTAATCTGGATTCTGGGTGAGGCTATGCATCTTGGCACGACCAATACTACTCCGGAATTAATGGCTCCTTTCCGACCGGCGACAGATGGCCCCTTTCGGATCTCACGACAGGGAGTAAACAACATTCACAGCAAGGAATACATATAATGTTTCATATGACAAAATATCTAGCGCGCGAACTGGTGCCTTTATTTTTTGCTCGCGCGATGTATGAGAGACAAACAACGCGATACCTGTAATTAACCAAGTAAGAATACGGCGGGCGGCTTGAGCCCTGCCCATACCACAGCGCAACCCTGGCAACCGATGGAAGCAACCGCGCCGCGTCGCCCACTGTACCTGTCAATTTGCGCCTCATGGGGACCGGAGCTGATCCTCGTCATCCAGCCAAGCCTGGCGGGACCAATAATGCCTGCTCAATGCTGCGCTACGTTTGTTCAGACGACAGCTCCTCGGTCGACTACCATCGCCTCGCTATTGCGAACCACTGTCGAAGGGCAATACGTCGCCTATGCAACTGCGCAAGTGCGTTATCCTGTGTCCCAAACAACAGCACGCCCCCTCGCATAGTCCGCGCGATTGAAGATTCATGGGCACCGTCTGCCACGTTTGTCCACAATCACAACAGAGACAAGGCTGTTTGACCTGGGCGAGCCAAGATGGTTTTAGCGTCCATGAGGTCATCTAACCGCATTCCCGACAATGATGTATCGAATACCGTACCATGCATCATGGGTCACTGTCGTTGAAGAGTGTCATGGGGGCGGAAACTGAAGACACACCCGCCGGTCATGGCTTCTGTGATTCGTATTACCTAGTGGAGGCGGATCTTATTATGTGTGGCCACCCGCCCTGCGCCGCCCTTCATTGTGGTTCTGGTGTCTTGTACTCCGGACCTTTGTGATAAAACACGATGAACGGCAAATCTCCCCTCCCTGCGTCAGTTTATCTCCTCGCGGACAATTTTTAGAACGACGAGTGGACCGAGGAATCTTAAATGTAGATTGAGAACGGCCACAATATAGTTTTGCATGCCAGTGGTAACCATCGAAGCTCATGCATCATATTTTGCTACGTTGTCCCGTAATTAGCTGCCTCAATGGAGGCAGTGGGATTCAACGCTTGAGCCAGGAACTTTGACGAATTTTGTAGTGCTGCCACAAGCCCGTCTGAAAGACCGGATTTCAGAATTCGCGTCCTGTCAGTGAAACGGACTTGAAAAGCGCGTTGTGGAGAATTGGACCCTGAAATTCCAGCCCCTTTCCATGCGCCACAATGCTCAGACTCTGGACGGTGTGGGGGAGGCGTACTCCTCACCGCCTGTAAGTCCCCGCTGATTTCTGACGGGCAGAAAAAAATCCGCGAGAGACTGGGAACTGAGCGCTTGTCGCATCTCAGCGCACCAGCTTGGGGCCACTACGTACACAGCAACGTATCAAAGCCATCTCCGATCATGTCCACCGGCAAGACTACGACGCCAGCGGCTGGCGTTGCTACGACGAGCAAACCTCTGGGTATGCGCAAGAATGGTATGCGCGCCTTGCTTCAGCATGCGGTGGGGCCATAGTTAACATCATCGCAGGCAAGCAATGGCACGAACCCAAGAAAGCCTTCCGTCCGACACGTGGACTCAAGTCGTATGAGAAGCGAACGCAGGAGCGTGCGCTGATGGCGCAAGTCAAAGCCAAAGAGAAGGAGATGAAGGAGGAGAAGGAGCAGGAGCACAAGGTAAGGACACCTCGACGTATTCGGTTCGACAAGCCTGATTCTGACACCCCTCCCACAGCAACGAGTTGCTGCCATCAAAGAGAAGAGAGAGAGGAAGGCCGAGAAGGAGCGATATGAGGAGTTGGAGGCAAAGATGCACAAGAAGAGAGTGGAGAGGCTGAAGAGGAAAGAGAAGCGCAATAAGATGATCAACTCCTGAGGCAAAGTAGTTGACGAGATGGCGTATCTCATGCAGGGCGTATTTCAGTTCGCCCATCCGCCTCACGGCTCCAATCAGCTCCCGAACGGGGCTGATGCTTCAGCTTTGACCAGAATGCCTCCCGTTGTTCAGGCGCATGGTCAATGCCCACGGGAATTACCCACTACGCCCTTGCCAAGAAAGGCACGGAACGAAGCCATGATAGACCTCACACCGGCCGGAAACAATGGCGTTGCACAAACAGGCGTTTGGGGTACTGGTTCTGATTCAGTCACGATATCATATCTAGCGTTCATACACACGAGTAGCGGGGACCAGAAGCCACTTGATCGCGACTGTACGCAGACGTGAATGCAGCTCTCGACTTGACCCGATAACTATTTCGCACAAGTGTCCTTCACTTTGTAGAAATTTGATCATTCGCAACACGTGAGAGAGCCGGGTGTTACCATCTGCCGCCCCACATTGCTGCACCCGGGCCTTGGGTCACTGGCACGCTGGGCCCTGTCTCGGCCTCAGCAACTAGTCCCGCGCGTGGATCCCGTCACACGTTGACTTTCGCTCTGCCTTTGAACCAGTGCAAGCGTGCAACCGGCAGCTCCGGGACGATGGGCACGCCACGCTCACCACCTCCGTCCGCGGGTCCTTCACTGGCCCCTTCTAGACCCGGCGGACGACACCAAATCAAGCGCTCGTTGACGGAGCTAGCATCCGCTAAGCACGGCCCATTGACCTCAGCGACGCACCACACCAGTCGACACTCGATCCATCACCAGCACCATCATCGCCATCGCCATCAACACGAAGACCGGACACATGGACGCGGTCACCACCACTACTTGAGAGGCTTTGAGAAGGAACACCAGACCAAGCATCCGGGCCTAGGCGGAACACGTAGTATGCTCGACATATCACGACCGGTCCCGCTGGGTCACATTCGCGGCGAGAGCGTCAATGTCGTCACACAAGTCAATGGGGATGAGGAGGCACGCACCAAGGGAGAGGCGCTGAGGAGGGAAACAGACAAGGCTGAGCACCGCGCCGATGGTCTCAAGCGATCGATTGTCGAGCTCAACACGTTTTCGTCCACGGCCACACGTCGACTCGATGAAACATACTACGCTGTGCTCGAGAAGACCAGTGCTTTGCAGAACACCATCATGGCACTCAAGGACTTGGCTGAGGGGTCAAAGGAGATATACGGCACATTTGAGACCGAGGCTTCTGAGCTCGAGAGCGACATACGGCGCCAACTGGATGGCCTGGGGAGTTTTGAGGGCCAGGAAAACAAGATCAAGTCCCTGCAGAGCCGGATAGGCGAGGGCAGGAGGAGGATGAGAGATCTCAGCGCACGCGTTGACGCCGTGCGAGAACGGGTCGAGAGCTGGGAGCGTGCAGACCAGGCGTGGCAGGACAAGACCAGGCGGCGGCTCAAGGTAGCCTGGAAGGTCGTCTTCATATTCATCCTCGCTGCCGTCACGCTTCTCGTCGGGCTCAGCTATGTACACCCTGAGGAGCATGCTGGGACGACGCTGGATGAGTTGCGAGATGCGATGGCACCAAGTCTCTGGCAGAAGGCGTTCAACATCTCGCGACGGGTGCCCATTATGTTGTCGAACTGCGAGGCGGGATCCGATGCCGAGCTGAGTGATGTTCTGCGACGGACGGCCCCGACAGACAGGGGGGATTTGCTGCGAGACTTTGACGAGCTGTGAGACTGGAGGTTGTCTGCACGGGCGGGTTCGCTCTTCTTGCCGTCCTGTCTTGTAGCGTTTGCGCATGATACCCCAGTGATTCTAATACCTAATCCCACAAGCTTCTATTGAGCATCGCCATCCAGCTGGGATCCAGTATGGTCGGTTACGTGTATACAGCATGCATGCAGCAGTAGTGCACCGCGAATTTTGTGGGGACGATGGCGCCGTGACAGATGAGTCCAGCCAGGTCCACGGCTGAGCAAGGCTTCGTGAATTACAGGAGAGGATCGTTTCTTCCTGCGTAAGACGCCGATGATCTCGACGAATGGCCCAGCAGCACTTGCGAACCATGGCTGCGCAATGTTTGGGTCATGAATTGCAACAGAAAGCGACACGCCAACATGGTCTTGGCGACTCGTTCTACAGCGGACGGACAGTCCACGTCATAGCGCGCCCGATGCGGCGAGAGATCTAAAGTTAAGGTATCCGTACGTCGTACCTTAACAGGATGTATGGTCCCCCGCCATCAATCGATGCTTTGCTGGAGGGCAGCCAGCAGTCCAGTCCAGTCGAGTCCATTCAGTGTCGATGCATCCATCATATCCAGCCTCTCATCAATGCAGTCCTTTTAGTTTGTAGTGTGTGATGGAAGATTGTGTAGCCTGCAATACGTGTAAATTGGCAGCCCAATTGTTCCACCCCAAGGCTGACTTTTGTGCCTAACAGACCTGCAGTGAGCCCTACAAATACGTATCCCGCAAGCTTGGCTTGCCCCCCCCCCCCATGACCGCGCGTCCTCGTGGTATGCAGCATCAGATCAAGCAATAGATGTCACCGCTAACTAACCGTGGCCTTGACATACATAATATATCATTCCTGTCCCGGCCAAGCCCCTTTCGACCCCGCCCTGCCCAAGCACCTGTACTGTACCTCTGACGGGTTTCCTGTCGAGACGAAAGACCTGCCGACCTGCCTGCTCTCGCCCGTGACCATTGATACCCTCTTTGTTTTGTCCTTTTCCCTAGCACTTCCCCCGACCAATCACTCCACGCCATGGTGTCCGCCGAGACCGACAAGGCTGACGATGCTGGGGCCGTCGCCGCCTCCTCAACACCCTACGATCCCGTCGAGATGCCCATCCGCACGACCAGCGACAAGAGTCTCCCCCCGGCGGGCTCGTCCCTCACGGGCAAGCAGGAGCATTACCTGAAGCGCGAGCTCATCTCAGAGCAGGTCAAGTGGGAGATTAATGAGCTCAACTCGCCCACGGCTCTCCGACGCTTTGGCGCGCCCTTCAAGTCCGACAAAGGCGAGGTCGCGCCGCACGAGTCCGAGCTGCCGGTCCTGCGCTTCATCTTCGTCCACCACATCCGCGACTTTCCCTTCCTCGACAAGGCCCGCGAGAAGGAGTTTTGGCAGGACAAGCTGCAGGTCTTCCTCGAGTCCTTTGCGGGAAAGCAAATCTCCTCCTCCGAGGACCGCCTCGAGGAGACGAAACGACGCAAGCTCGCCATCAAGGCCAGGAAGCTGGTCGAGCTGATGATGGTCTCGGGCATCGGCACAACCTCCGGGTTCGAGGAACGCATCCGATTCTCCGAGATCGAGATTGTGGACAGCAACGCCATCGACTCGGGCGTCATGCACAACATGCCCGAGGGCAACTACATCAACGGGTACGACGTCAACGTGGCCGGTGTCCGTGTCACCACCACCAAGGGCAAGATCCGCAAGCACAAGCATGCTGAGTTCCTGCTGCGCATCAAGAGGAAGGGCGAGCTGGAGCACTTTGTCGCGAGGCGATACGGCGACTTTGCCAAACTTCACCGGAGGCTACGGTTGGAGCTGCCGGGCAGGCCCTTGCCCACATTGCCCAAGAAGAACAAGTCGGATTCTACGGCGAGCGGTCTCCTGGGCTCCTGGGGCGGTGGCGGCGGCGACGAGGACGCCGACTCGGATGGAGAGTCCGTATCCTCGCACGAGACGGGGCGAACAGGGAAGTCTGCGCGGGGCTCATCTTCGCTGCTCTCGCCCAACGACAATGGTGGGTCTGCCGTGCTGTGGATGAGTGCTGAAGCTGACGAGAAAACAGGTCGTGGAAATGGCTCGTCTGGGGCGTCTATCAGATCGGGAATCTCGAGAAAGCTGGGTACACCGAGGACGTCCACCGATGGCCGACTAGCACCACCGGGAGCGCAACCTGTCGAGGTACGTATGTTCGGTATGGAATCTCGCAGCGAATGCTAATGGGCTGGCTCAGGATGTCGTCCTTTGGCGCGAGAACCAGCGAGTGTCGCTACGCGCCTTCGTCAGGTCGCTTTTGCACAACCCACAGATTGCCAACACCAAGGCTATGCAGGAGTTCCTGGCAGGCGATCCCACAACTCCGACTGACGATGATGTGGAGGACATTATGCGCAGGAGGGAGGTCGACGAGAACCGCATGGAGGAGCAAAGGAAATTTTACGAGATTGCTCGGAAACGCGCGGCCGATTTGGACGAGTACATGGAGCAGTAAGTGGCGCGCCACTGTTACTCGGTCATTGGGTAGGGCACCAGCTAACAGACTCACAGGTTCCGTCGCGATATTGTCGAGCGGAACGGACTCACCAAGCTATTCGCCGAAATCAAGGAGAAGGAGACAATCCCCGACCTCAGCATCCAGTACCGGAAGTTTGCCGAGTGGCTACGTATCGAGATAGCCGCCGTCATCTACCACATCTTCCTGGCGGAGGACAATTCGCCCGAGCTGTTCGCCCAGGCGAAGCGCATCCACTCGCTGATCCCCTACACAGTCATCAAGAATGTCATTCGGATAGCAAACCCAGCGGCTGTCATGTCGAGCGTCCTCGATGTGTTCCTCGCTCAGCCGTTCGGCACGCGTTCTCTTCTGCAGCGCATCTTTTCGCTAACCCTGAACGATGGTATCAAGAGCTTCCAAAAGTCCATTGACACGCTCAGCGCCAAGATCGGGGACGATGCTTTCACAAGCAAGCTGCAGAAGTACACCCGGGCAGAGGATCACATCAAGGCTGCCATTAGAGAAGAGGCCGAGTCTGAGGAAACAGACATCATCGTCGTCATCTTGCGCTCGGATCTCCTTGAGCCAGAGTTGACCGGCGACCAGATCCAGCGGCTCTTCAACGCATACGTAGCCTTTAACAATGCAGTCGAGAATATTGACGAGGAGCTGCGCCAGGGCGCTCAGCTCTTCTCGTATCTCAAGCAGCTCCTGAAGCTATGCACGCGCCAGCGCGACAAGGAGATGATGCTGGAGCTCATAGAGGAGCCGACCACGCTGCAGCTGTTCCGCGATCTGTTTACCATCTTCTATGAGCCCCTCGTCCGCGTCTACAAGTCCGCCAATGTCTACAACAGTGTCACGGACTTTGCCGTGTTTGTCGATGATATTATCAAGGTGAGTACTCCATGAGTGAGTGGACTAGCTAGAGCAAGCGGGCTAACAGTGATCGTACAGGTCGTGGACAAATGTCGGAATCAGGACGCCTCTGCCGATCCTAACCTGACCGTTCAGGCTTTCATCGATTTGTGCGCGCGACACGAGCACAACTTTTACAAGTTCGTCCACGAGGTGCACGTCCACGACAACGGTCTCTTCACACAGTTGATGGGATGGATAGAGGGCATCCTGGAATTCCTGCGCAAGGGACCCGAGAACGGCAAGCTCAACATCAACGCCCTCTTTGAGGGCGGCGTCGGTAGCGACACCCTGGACAAGGACAAGGCCATTGCCGAGATCGACTCGCTCATTGCCTGGCAGGAGGCCAGGAAGAGGTGGCACAATGACAAGACAAGGCAGAAGATGGCGGCCGAGGGCCACGCCGGTGGCAGCATGATACCTGCCGGCTTCAAGTCGACAGACTTTGGCCTGGATGGCGAGGATCTCGAGGACATGAACTATGACGATGGATCAGAGGACGAGCAGGAGGCAGAAGAGGAAGACGAGCTGGACCCGATTGAGGCAGAACGGCGCCGACGAGCGAAGCGACAGGATCGACTTCGTCGTTCAGCCGGTGAGCCCGCCAAGCCACCCGTGGCAGAGGTGCACAAGCTCAAGGATGACTTCCTGGTCATGTTGCGCCAGGTGCTCGCCAACTAGTTAATAGGCTAGGCTTTCAGCATGTCCGCAGAGAGCGGACGCCAGGAAGGGTGTTTAGACATTGGGCGGGATCTGTTGGAGATACAACTCTGCATCATCATAGAGCAGAACATCCCTAGAGGCAGTCTTTGGTACACTTGCATAGCATTGATTTACTTCGCCCTCGTTTCGAACATGAACGCGCACCAGATTACACGTACAGTCAAGGTCCACTTGGCGTGAGCCTCGGCTTTTTACCGCGCATCCTACGGCTGCAGAGTGGTGACGCGCACATGCAGTCCACATGATCACAAGAGTCTTGTTCCATTAGAAATGCCAGGGCGTCAAGGGGAAATGTATTTGATGAATATGCACATGAATGACACAACGTAATTAGGGGTAGAAGCTGAATATCAGATATTAACATGAGCCGGGGACGCTGTAGGGTAGGATGTCGAAATGACTAAGCCGCTCATTACCTTTGCGCCTGCGCTGATTGGCTGAACGTACCGAGAAGCCGACTTGACTGGAGCCGGGCAACTGCAGCCCCAGTTCCGTGGGAAGGAGCCCGGGCAGGCCAGGAAGGCGCAGGCGAGCCAGCGCTGCACCAGGAGCTGGATCGTTGAAATCATCGATTGGCCACGCCAGTTGCTGGTATTTCTTCATCCGCAATTCCACCACACCTCACCACCAACACAGCAACAGTACAACCCGGTCCATGCAGATTGTCGTTGACTGCACATACTGCTGACAATGGCTTCTTCCATGGCTTTGAGGAGATTGGCCACTGGCTCCTCGGTACGTCCCAATCCCACGCGACAACCGCCAGCCGTATGGCCAGACAAGACAGACAGGACGAGATCGCTGACCGAAGCAGTTTTCGAGGTTGGCTAGCAACCAGGCCCGAGCATTCTCCACGACGCGACCGGTCTGTGAGTACATCTGCGACTCCAGCATGCTCAACCCCTCGAACTGACTTGTCGACTCTAGCCCGCGTTATCTCCAACGGTCCTCTGCGTGCAAAGGAGGCGTCACCCTTTGTGAGCAACAAGTATCCTGTCATCGTTCGTCTTCCTCCGACCTCCCCGCCTCCCATCGTCGACTTGACTAACAACCCGTACAGGACCACGAGTACGATGCTCTCGTTGTCGGTGCCGGTGGTGCCGGTCTTCGCGCTGCCTTCGGTCTGGCCGAGGCTGGCTTCAACACAGCCTGTATCTCCAAGCTCTTCCCCACACGATCCCACACAGTCGCTGCCCAGGGTGGCATCAACGCCGCGCTTGGTAACATGCACGAGGACGACTGGAGGTGGCACATGTACGACACCGTCAAGGGCTCCGACTGGCTTGGTGACCAGGACGCCATCCACTACATGACCCGCGAGGCTCCCCAGTCGATTGTCGAGCTCGAGAACTACGGCTGCCCCTTCTCCCGCACGGAAGATGGCAAGATCTACCAGCGTGCTTTTGGTGGTCAGTCGCAAAAGTACGGCAAGGGTGGCCAGGCGTACCGATGCTGCGCTGCCGCTGACCGAACTGGCCACGCTCTCCTCCACACACTCTACGGCCAGTCTCTGCGCCACAACACAAACTACTTTATCGAGTACTTTGCTCTCGACCTGATCATGCAGGACGGCGAGTGCCGTGGTGTGCTCGCCTACAACCAGGAGGACGGTACCCTGCACCGCTTCCTCGCCAACCACACTGTCCTGGCCACTGGTGGTTACGGACGTGCCTACTTCTCGTGCACTTCCGCCCACACCTGCACTGGTGACGGTATGGCCATGGTCGCCCGTGCTGGACTTCCCAACCAGGATCTCGAGTTCGTCCAGTTCCACCCTACCGGCATCTACGGCGCTGGCTGCCTGATCACCGAGGGCTCTCGTGGTGAGGGTGGTTACCTGCTCAACTCGGAGGGTGAGCGTTTCATGGAGCGATACGCCCCTACCGCCAAGGATCTTGCCTCCCGTGACGTGGTCTCCCGATCGATGACCATGGAGATCCGCGACGGCCGCGGTGTTGGCGCCGAGAAGGACCACATCTACCTCCAGCTCAGCCACTTGCCTGCCGAGGTCCTGGCCGAGCGTCTGCCCGGTATCTCTGAGACCGCTGGCATCTTTGCCGGTGTCGATGTCCGCAAGGAGCCCATTCCTGTCCTGCCCACCGTCCACTACAATATGGGCGGTATCCCCACTCGCTACACTGGAGAGGTTCTCACTGTTGACGAGCAGGGCAATGACAAGGTTGTTCCCGGCCTGTTCGCCTGCGGTGAAGCTGCTTGCGTGTCCGTTCACGGTGCTAACCGCCTGGGCGCCAACTCTCTGCTCGATCTTGTCGTATTTGGTCGTGCCGTTTCGCACACCATCCGCGACAACTTCACCCCTGGCGAGAAGCTGAAGCCCACTGCCGCCGACGCCGGTGCCGAGCACATTGAGGTCCTCGACAAGGTCCGCACCTCCGAGGGCCCCAAGTCCACCGCCGAAGTCCGCCTGTCCATGCAGAAGGCCATGCAGACCGATGTCTCCGTCTTCCGTACCCAGGAGAGCTTGGACGAGGGTGTCCGCAAGATGCAGGAGATTGACTCACAGTTTGCCGACGTCGGCATCAAGGACCGCAGCATGATCTGGAACTCGGATCTTGTCGAGACCCTCGAGCTGCGTAACCTGCTCACCTGCGCGTACGTTATTTGGTTCCCCCGTGAAAAAAAAGGAAGGAAATGCTGATCATTGTTTAGTACCCAAACCGCCCAGGCCGCCGCCAACCGCAAGGAGTCCCGTGGAGCCCACGCCCGCGAGGACTTCCCCGAGCGTGACGACGAGGAATGGATGAAGCACACCCTGACCTTCCAGAAGCAGCCCCACGGCAAGGTCGACATTGGCTACCGCAACGTCATCGCCACCACCCTGGACGAGAGCGAGTGCAAGCCCGTGCCTCCTTTCAAGCGTACATACTAAGCCCGTGGGAGTTTTGAGTGGAAAAGTCTCATCATAGATCAGGCGGAGAAGCCTCTCTTTTTGGATTCGATTTTGTTGTTTTCGGTGTTGGGTCGCACACTTTCGCGACGGGTTACAAAGGTGAAATATGTCTCTTTTGTAGTCGCATGTGGAGGAGGGAGGAACGGGATGCTGTAACTTTTATGATACACCCTTGATCGTCGGTCGGTTGCTGTCAGGGGACGAGGTAGTGTTGCAGATGTGCATCCTTGTGATGCTTGTAAGAAGAAAGTCAAAGTTCAATACTTTTATTATTGCTTCTCCTGTGATGGCGGCACGTTTGAATCCATTCCCTGTTTGACATGGTCAACGCCCAGAGTCGGATCGGCAGTGGTTTCAGAAACGACGGCTACGCTACGCTCACTACGATGTGAATCAATCGCCAAATCCCACTCCCAACTCCCAAACACCCTAGTCCCGCGGATCTGCTTCATCTCAGTCAGTGCTTCTGATAGAACCTCATCAGATCAGCCTTCATCTCCGTCTTCTCCTTCTTCATCTTCTCAATCTGCGCGTGCTGCAGCCGGTCCTTGTTTTCAAGCGCCGCAATCGTCTCCTGCATCCTGGCGATCTTGCTGTCCTTCTCGCGGATCTGCGACCGCAGCACGTCCCGCCCCTTGGCCACGCCCTGCGCCCGTCTCTCTGCGGCGTCGATAATGTCCTTGACGGAGGCGAGGATCTCTGGCTTGATGTCCTTGATCGGGCGGAGGAGGTCAATGACTTGGGCGGCAGAGTCATGCTCCTTCTCCGGCGTCTCGGGGTGTACTGACGGGTTGCCGACCACGGTGGCACTCGAGCTTTGCGTTGTGGGCTTGGTCGGCGTGGTGAAGGTATCTTCCTCCTCGAAAGAGGCTGTCCGTTTCATCTTGGAAAGGGGGAACAGCGTCCTCGCGGTACCCGGCGTCGGCAGCCCGTGTGTCATTCTCGTCGTGGCGGCAGGTGTCTGGGGCGTTGTCCCTTGAGGCGGCTGCTCCGCGAGCGCGGCCATGGCCCGCTCTTCATCCGAGTCCATGGGACCAAGGAGGTCCTCATCCTCATTCCCATCCTCATCCTCATCTTCCTCCTCGATCCGCTTCCTCTTGCCTTTGCGTTTGCGTTTGCCCATGTCTCTCGTGGGTGACTCGCCGCCGCTCTCACTTGCCGTCGTGGTCGCGTCGCTAGCTCTCCTCTGTCCCGGGGTGACCTTGATACCATAGTTTGTCAAGCGCCGCTGTGTCATGCTCGGCGTCTTGATCTGGACATCCTCTGCCCTCTCCCTCTCCACCTCGCTCGTCAGGATGGTCTTGCTGGGCGCCCCATTCTCGCGACGCTTCGCATCGTCATCCCACAGCCAGAAACGGCAGTTGTCCTTAGGACAACGGTAGAACCAGCGATCCTTGTACTCCGATTCGGGTTTCTTGACTTGTATATGCTTTGCTTGCTCACGGGGTTCGCAGTTACCTAAGTGTTGTCTTGGTCAATGGGCTAGCACGGTGAAAGGACGGAACCGAAGGGGAGGAGGCGCATACAGTACCACTCGCCGTCGAGGAAATGACCATCAAGCCGTACTTTTGTCGCAGAGCCCGGCGTAGGAGGACCGTTGCCGCGTCCTCTGCCTTTGTGGCGGGGCGTCGGAACCATGATCTGTTAGCTGAGATGGCCAAGGTATTGCGGGACGAAAGCCCATGGACTTGGGCGAGTGCCCCCCACCCCAAATGATGAGTGCGAGGAGGAGCAGCTAGGACAGATGACGACAATCTCATAAAGGCTCACTCATTAGCGAGCCTCGAGAGCGGCAGCTGAAAGCTGAGAATGACTGGAGTTGGTGGGGGGAGGGGGGTGGCGCGCGAGCGGGAGCAGCCGCATGAAACTTGGGTGTCGAGGAGGCCGGGCTGGGATCGTTCGCACAGCAACTACGTACCTACGTAGCGACGAGCGCTTCATTCAGGGTTCCTCCAATCGTCAAATTGATTACAATTGCATGTCGCAGCTCCTGAGCCACGCATCCATACAGAAACCCTAGATAGAATCTAAAACGAACATAAGTAAGTATGAAAAGCCAGCGTTTGGCAGCGTGAACGGTCTCGGTGGCATCTAGTCTTGTGCCCACCATAGCCCATAGTCTATACCCCAGGACGATGGCACCCACGTATTCCCAACCCTCACGCCCATTGATCCATTCCTTTGCTCCAAAAACTCAACCCTTAGTAGCCAGCGCCAAGGTGGTCCGTCAGAGCCTTCTGCGTCTTGGCAAAGACGGTATCCGGAGGCACAGTACCATTAATCTTGACCAGCTTGCCCTCCTTCTCGTAGTAATCCACGACGGGCATGCTCGTCTCGATAAAGGTCCTGAACCTCTTGCGGATGCTCTCGGCATTGTCGTCTGCGCGACCGCTGGTCTTACCGCGCTCGAGCAGGCGCCTCTCCATCTCCTCCTCGGGTACGTCGTAGAAGAGCACCATCTTGGCAGGGCAGACCGTCTCCTCGAACTTGTGTGCCTGGTCCATCTTGCGAGGGAATCCGTCGATGAGGAACTTGCCCTTCTTGCTGCCGGACTTTTGCAGGGCATCGGTCATGGCGTTCTCGAGGAGCTGGACTGTCACCTCCATGGGTACGATGAGGCCGTTCTTGATGTAGTCGCGGATCAGATCACCAAACTGGGAGCCGGGACGCTCTTGCTCAGCGCGGAGGAGATCGCCGGCCGACAGGTGGGTGAAGCCGTGCTGCGCGACGAGCTTGGAGCACTGCGTGCCCTTGCCGGCGCCGGGCCCTCCGAGAACGAAGAGGACGGTCACATCGTCACCGGAGAAGGTGGGCGTCGACTTGGCCGGGGCCGGGAGCTGGGCGGTGTCGTCGGTGGGAGGCATCTCTGCGAACCATGTTAGGATCCCTCATTGATGCTGTGCGGGCGTGCGCGCGCGCGACCTACCCTTGCGGCGGTTGACAAGGCCAACGTACCCAGCGGAACCGATACCGATGATGGCGAAGAAGGGCCAGAACTTGATGGCACCGCCGGACTTGGGACCCTGCGAAGAATAGGCGCGACTCTGCTGCTGCTGCTGCCGGCGGAAGACGCGAGGGGTCGAGCACTGCGCAGACGAGGCCGTGTTCAAAGGACGAGCCGCTGCTGCCCTGCTGCTGCCAGCGGCCAGGCGGGATCGGAGGGGCATCATGCGGGAAGCCATGTTGAGGGGGGGAGAAAGGAGGGTGTGGGTGGAACTGGTGACGACTGGAGCGAACAAGACGAGACCGTGTGGTCACGTTGAGGGCCGATGCGCAGACACACGAGTTGGGCGTGTGATGGCTGGGATCGAAGTGTCAGGAGGATGCCATCCGGTGGTCGTGGTAATGGATTATAATTTCGGAAAATGCCATGGGTGGACCTTTTACTGCAATTGGCCTCCGACTATTAACAGTTAAAGGGGCGCTGAGGGAGGAAAACGGAAGACGCGAGATCACGTGAGCGCGAGTCGCTCGCTCACCACAAGGACCTCACTTCATTAGTTAGTTAGTACCTGGACTAGTACCTCGTATTGAAGTCGTGGTCGTATCGTCATTCTTTTGTCTATGGAAAGCATACGTGAATCCATCCACGATGACGGCCCGATGCGCCACCAGCTACGCCGTCTGCCATGACCTCCAATGTCTCTCACTCACTTTATCTGCCAGCCCCCCTCGCCGGGCTGGCGATGTCCAGGTGGAAAGACAAGAGACCGGCAAATATTAACACACAAAACAAAAAAGGGAAACAAGCAACCCAGTCCATTCTTAGTCGTCATTGTCGTTCCGCTCCCTGTGCTGCCGGCGGCCCGCACCACGATCGCCTCCTCGCTCACCACCCATGCCGACACCGGTCAGCTTGCGCTCCAGCTCCTGCACCTCGCGCTCCTTCTGCGCCTTGGCGTTGACCTGCTCCTGCTGGATGACGCCCAGCACGTTCTGCAGCGTCGCGCGCCAGTGGTCCACGCGCGTCGCGAGCTCACGGTACTGCTTGTCGCCAAAGACGCGGTACGTCACCTTGTGCACGAGGAACAGGCGGCGCTGCTGCGACAGCTTGCCCTCGACGAGGCCGGCCCGGATCACGTCAATGGCCCACATCTCCACGTCCTCCTCGGGGATCTGGAGCGCCTTGGTGATCTTGGCGTAGTCAATCTCGCGGCTCGGCGTCGTGGCCGCCAGGCTGGCAAACGTGAGCAGGCGCATCTTGCGGTGCAGCTTGTCGTGGTCCAGCTTCTCCTTCTCGACCCAGCCCTCGTGCTCGTCTTTGAAGTCGTCGTAGTCCTCGAGGTCCTGCTCGGCAAACGTGTCCAGCAGCTGCGAGTACACTGGGTGCGAGTCGCTCAGCGCCTGCACGCTCGGGATGGCACGCAGGTCCTGGAACAGAAAGTGTGTGTTGGACAGCAGCGCCATCTTGACGGCCCGCAGGGATAACCGTTGCGCGTCCTCCGACGTCACCTCGCTCTTCTCGTCCTCGTCAAACGTCCGCAGCGCCTTGAGGATGAAGTTGTAGCCCTCCCTGTGTGTGACGTTAGCTCAGCCATCCTTGCTCCGCGGGGGCTTTCATCAAGAGTGACTCACTCCTCCTCACCCGACTCAATGGCCACGTCGGCCACCTCCTCGTACACCTTGCGCTGAAAGTCCTCGTCCTTGTCCCACGTCTCGAGCCACTCGGGCAGACGTTCGAGGTACGGCTTCAGAGCGCCGTACATGCTGTTGCTCTTGAGGAACTTGAGAATCTCCTGGAACACATTCGCCCGCACCGGGTCCTCGGGGCTGAGAAGGTTGAACACGGTGGTTAGGGCGTTCAGGGTCAGGCCAGCGCCGTGCTGGGGTGAGCTGGGCAGGGGCCGGGCAAAGGCCTGGCACAGTTTCTGGAGGTGCTTCTTGGGATCGGGGGACTGCATGACGAGGTGGATCATGAGGTTGGACGCCGCCGTGAACTCCTTCTCGGGGACCGCCGTCAGGGTCTGCGCCGACGCCACGAGCTTGGCGAGGACGTCGTCCTGGGAGGCGCCCGACGCGATCAGCTTCTTGGACTCTTCCGACTTGAGGTAGTCGGCCATCTCGCCGGCCAGCTCTTCAAAGGAGCCATCGACAAAGGTGAGCTGGGGGCGGTACCCCTCGGTGGTGGCAGCAGGCATGATGGGCGATGCGTTTGGCTCTGGGCAACAACTGGGCTCGGCCGGCGTCGCTCGATGCGATCTTGGTGTCGGCTCGGTCGTGGGACGCTTGTGATGTCGATGGTTGCCCAAAAAATTCCTCAGGTCCGCCCGCTGGTATTTGTTTGCTCGTCTAGTCACGCCGGGTCGATTGTTCTCGGGTTCGCAATGAGAATATGCTCTACAACGAGAAGCCTCGAATAACCCTGTGGTGGGGCTCTCCCCTCTGGCACCCCGCCAAATTTTCTGCCACGCCAGGCAATGTGTGCGCGTGCTGTCCGAGGCGGCCGCGGAACAGCATTAGTCCGGTAGCCGCTGCAGATGTCGCCTTGAGAGACTCATTGTCCCGCGACGATACTTCTGTGGTGAAGTACTTATTGAAACATTCTCAACGTACAGTCGTTTCATTCAATTCTGCCTTTTGTCGACCAAACTCCGCTATTAAAACGCCTGTGACAAGCTCAAACATTGTTCATATGTGTATCCCAAATCAAGTAACAAGGCCGACCACCGTCACTCCTCACCTCACAAACCATGTACATGTAATACAGGTGTACGTCCACCCCACCGCCTCTGTCCAATCAATACTCGTCCCAGTATCTATCGCCCGTTCGTCTTCGACTTGGTGTGTGGTTTCGCCCCCGCCGTCGTCTCCTTTGTTGGGTAGATGCTTGAGCTGTCGTCTCCAAACAGCTGCTGGTCACCCTTTCCACCCATTTCGATGAACTCCTCCGGGGCCCTGTCGTTCGCGGGCCCAGCCTCCTTGCGCGTGTTCGTGACGTTTTGCTTGTTCTTGGCGAACACCTTGACGGCGCTTTTGTTGCCGTCGACAGTGGCTGCGACCTGGACCGAGTTGAGGTTGGACAAGAGCGTACGCTCGCGGGGAGGGGCTCTCCTATTGACCTCCAAACCGGCGATGCCCCCCACGAGACCGCCAGTGCTGTCATTCACATTGTTGCTCGTAGATGCCAGCCACGGGTGTGATAGGCACTGATCGATGGTGAAGCGCTTCTCGGGGTCCACCACCAGCATCGAGTCAATGAGATCAACTGTGTGGAGTCAGTAACGGCGGCTGCGATGAACAATCAATGTACTCACGTGCAGGATCACCAACAGAATCCCAGTAGGGTGACGGGTAGTCGAACCGCCCGCTACGGATTTGCTGTGACAGGGTGTAGGGGAAGTCTCTCGAGTAAAGCTCGTCGGAGAATGGCGGGAACCCGCAGAGACAGATGTACAGGACGACGCCAAGCGACCACACGTCAACTGCCTTTGTGTACCTGCGATGCTTGGTGTCTGCCAGGATCTCTGGGGCCACATAGCTAGGCGTGCCGCACAGCGTAGTCGTGAAGGACTCCTCGCCAATGATCTTGGCGAGGCCAAAGTCCGCCAGCTTTACGTGCAAGTTCTTGTCGGTCAGGAGGATGTTCTCGGGCTTAATGTCGCGATGCACAATATTGCGCTCATGCTGTTCGTGTTAGAGATGCGTGCGCCTGCACGTGGAGACGGGGGGACGTACCAGGTACTTGATACCCTGGAAGAGCTGAATGAACAGTTTCCTCGACTCATCTTCGCTCAGCTTCTGCTTCATGACGATAAAGTTGAAGAGCTCGCCCTCGGCTGCGAGCTCCAGCACCAGGTAGACTCGGTCCTTCTCGTTAAAGGTGTCCTTGAGACAGAGCACGTTGGGGTGGCTAACGCCCATCAGCACGCCAATCTCCTGCTGCAGGCCCTCGGTTTTCGAGCGGTCCTCAACACCGGGATGCCTCGTGAAGATCTTGACGGCGTATCGTTGGCCGGTGGACTTTTCCACGCAGAGGTAGACCTCGGCAAAATGGCCCTTGCCGAGCTTCTGCAGCAACGTGTATTGCTGTAGGAACGCGCTCGTCTGGCGACTGTGAGGGTACCGGAAGACGAAGCGTGCGCTGCCGTGCACGGCAATCTCATCGCCGTGCTCCAGCTCCCGCCGCTGGTTGCGGCCGACGTACGCCTCGTTCACAAAGGTGCCGTTCTGCGACAGGTCCTCGAGGATGGCGGTGGTATCGCTACCCTGGTTCTCCGTAAAGATGAGGCAGTGGCGGTTCGACACAATATGGTTGTTGACAATGACGTCGCACTCTGGGTGTCTCCCGATCAGGTATCCACCAGACGGTGTGTTGCCAATCTTGCTCTTCTCGTATGCCTCTTCGTCGCCCAGCGTGTCTGGCTTCCCCTGGCGACTGCTGGACTTCTTGTCCGCCGTCAACTCCTTGCTGGGCCTCGGGCATGCGCCCCTCCTCTTGAGCACCATGGGTTTGTCGCCATACTTGGGGTCCAACGGAACGAGGTAGCCCCAGACGCCCTCTTGGACCTCGTCCTCTTCCTCCTCGGCAAGCGCCACAGCATTCGGCTCGACGAACTGGCTGAGGGGCTGAGTGTCCTGAGGTGGCGACGAGAGGGCCTGGCTCAGCTCATGCAGTTCCTCGGGCTTGCGAGGCGTACTCGGGCCGCCAATCTGGCGCGAGGGGGATCTCTCCTTCGTGGCCTCCCCCGATGTGAGCTGCGTGACAGGAGATGGCAGCTGCTGTTTGTTCTTGGTGACCGGGGTCTTGTCGCCATCGCCAGGGTTTGTCAGACGGTCGGAGCGGCGAGGTTTCTTGTACTCTGTCTCGCCCTCGGGAATCGAGCCCTGTAGACGCTTGGTCAGCCATCATGTCACCTCGGCCTGGGCGTGGGCATGGGCATGGGGGTGGGCAACGCACACGAGGGCGCTTCAATTGGCTCTTCTCCTCTCGGGGTGGCATCGTGCGCGGTGACGAGAGCGGCGAGAGCCGACCAGGCAGATGCGTGTCGAGATGGTAGCCTGGGCCACTGGTGACGTGGGGCGTGGTAAGAGAATGGAGCTGCCTGTCCGGAGAATTCACGACTCTTCTTCGATCAGCGAACTAGCCAAGACACAACTGGCGGGCGAGGCGACGGAAGAGGCAAGTTGAGCGACGGCTGCCTGCACAGATGTGTGTATAGGGAACGTCGAGATGAAATATGACATGGACCTTGGGTCAGCGATTGGGTAAGGCAAGGTAGGGTACTATGGCAAGGACAGAATGGATAGAAAACCGCTGATGAGTGACCCAAGTGATGTGATGCTACAGCCACAGGAGGGTGGGTCTTCCCCGATCGGCTGTGCTGCCTGCTGCCGCGCGCGCGTCCAGTCCGCGTGCTGACTGGAGCACAGGATCCAGTCTTCCGGAGCTTGCAGCCCGCCCGCCTGGCTTCCAGGACTCCGTCAGGTTGTCAGCCTTATGGCTCTCATCTCCGCAACAAGTCAGCCAGGGCCTAGAGGCCAGAGATGTTGTGGCTGGTCTTGTCATTTGCGGCAACACAGGTCATCCGCGGCCCCTCTCTGTCAAACTACTCGTTTGTCGCACCACGTTCCAACCTCATCTGTCCCCCGTCAAAGGCAGATGGCCCTTTCGGCATCTCCATCTACAGAAAAAGGTCATCATGGGCGGACCCAGAAATGGAACGCTGATCTACGAGCAATAGTACACAGTCAAGAGCACTCCGTCACCACATGGACTGCCATTAGTCACCTGCTGGCGACCTAGCATGCTCCAGTCACGTCCGCCACATGAATGATCGTACAGCAGCTTGGCAGCGTGACCCGATGACTCGGACAAGTCTGTTAGATTACCACCGATACTTTGTCGGCATTACCATTAATCCTATCCATACAGCCACTACTATCAAACAGCGTCTTGGTGCCCATAATAGCCTCTTTCCAACTGCCCCCAGCTGGGCCTGGCTGGTAACAATGTCGCCATACCCGATCAAATACTCATGTGCTGTAATGTCTTGACGGTTGCCACATATAACTCGCGAAAACGCTCAAGGCTCATAATCCGGAACGCCCCTGGACCTCAAGACCAGTCAATAGCTATGCCTGTTCACGTTGAATCGTATACCTTCTTCGGAACGCTCAAAACCATGTCCGCCCCATGAAGGGTCGCCCGTCGTGCTCGATAATTCCCAACGATGGTAACACAGGCCGAGCGCAGCCAGTCGTTCCCAGAATCTAGACTCCTATCTCTCCGGAATGGGTGACTTGGCGAGCCTCCCACCAGCACTCACCCGCTTCGCCAGGCGTATGTCTTTCTCCCGCTGCAGCCTCTCATTTGCACTCACATTAGGAGGCAGAGTCGGGACTGCGTCCTGGGGACCACCGATAGACTTGCCCCTCTTCTGGTCAATGTACAGCTGCGCATGACGACCGAGCGGGAAGGCTGGCATTGTCGCCGGAATCTCTGCTCCGTTTTGCGTGAGCATCTCGGCGACTGGGAAGGGCACCACCTTGTTGGAGTCGGCGTCGGCAGTGCTATGTGGTGCCGTTGGCGAAGGAGAGGCTGGGTCTGCTGCGGCCAGAGCTAGGAATACAGCATGTGTCCCTCTCATCTTATCCACGACGTTGGGATTGGCCCTCAGGGCCAGGGCGTACAGCACCTGCTGAATTTCGTTCTTCTTGATGGCGGCCAAAAGCGTCTCATCCGGCGTCCCGTACCGTGACAGGGTGGATGAAATCGGCTCGACATATGCATGATCGACATACTTGGACGTGATGAACCGTAAGCGTTGCTCGCGCGTCGCCTGCGCCGTGGGCTTCTGAGACTGATCGAGCCTGGCCTCCCAGACCATGTTCGACACGCGGTTGCCGATCAGTAGCAACAACTCGACAATATCGACGGTGAACGATTTGATGTCCAGAGTCAAAGACCGAACCTTGCTGATGTGCGTCCCCAACGACCGATGAATGCCGCTGCACTCGATGCACAGGATGATGCCGAGATTGATGGAAACCCACTCGACCTTGGACCCAGATCCGCAGTCGGCGCACCACGTGTTGCCCTGATCGCAGTCGCGGACCATCTTCAGCAGCCTGTCGGGGGTCTCCTCGTAGCCAGAGCTTGTGGTTCGCACTGCCTGCGGTCTAGCACCGACTGTGGTTCTGCGGACAGGCATTCCGCTGCCCGAGCTCGAGTGCTGGTGGTGCCCATGATGATGACCGTGACTGAGCGACTGTGACTTGCCTGTAAGGACAGAACCAATATCTCTCCTCAGTGACGACTCGACCCCAGATTTGCCGCCGCTTCCTGGCTTCTCCGAGTAACTTCGACCTTCCATCGCGCTCTGGAGGGCATTGTTGATGGACACAATCCAGGTGTTCATGTCCTCTTCCGATGTGGCTTGGTAGACGCGCTTTGAGTTTGGGGTAATAACTTCAAAGCAGAACCTTCTCTCCTGGTTCCGTGCTTCGCGGACGGATGCCATGCGAAGGTCAATTGGCTCGGTATGCAGATCCAGCCTTTGTTTCCAATTGCTGTACTCAGAAAGCTTACCCTGGTCGAGGACAATCCAGAACCTGCGTAGCTTGTCAGCATGGGCGGCCAGAATAGCTCTTGATGGATTCGCTTACTTATGCCAGCCTTGTCCACTCAGACTGCGAGGGTCGACATGGCCGCTCGAGCGTCCAAGCGCCCAGAGAAGTCCTTCCTTGCGTTGAGTGACTCCTGCGTTGGAGCTCTCGTGACGCTCCTCGAGGTCGCGTATCCCCTTAAATTTAGAGCCCGACGTCGCGCCTTGGCCCAAACTCCCAGGTGACCTTGACAATTCCGCTCCATAAGGATCGCCGGGATGATTAGGGCCACCGGCGGGCACGCTCCTCAGTTGTGAGCCAGTGCTGTCTGCGCGACCCAGCTCTGTGTCCGAAGTACTGGTGTTTCCACTGTTCTGGTGGGACGTACCATTCGCCGCAGTCGGGATCGTGTAGGTGTTGGACGTCGTGGCTTCAGAAGGCTCCAGATAAGGAGTGTTGCCCTTTTCTAGCAGACGGCGTTTCTCCTCGCGCTCGCGCCTCTGGTACTGGTACTCCTTGTCCGCGTCCATGACTTCGCTCGACAATGCCTCGAGCTCTGGTAGGAGGGCCTCCACCTTCTTGGCGGCATCCAAGAAACCCTTGGACTGAGAGTCCGCGTATTTGGTGAGATGAGAGAGCACTTCTTGCTCTTTCCGTCCCCCATGAAGGTCTTGCATGAAGCTGGAGTAGTCGAAGCGCTTGAGTTCAAACGTCCGTCGTTTGCTCTGATATTTCGAGTCGCTGTCGGCGAGCTTCTTAGCCTTGACCGAATCCTGACGCTGACCTAGATAGCGCGACATGTAACTGTAATAGTCTTTGCTCTCTTCATCGAATTCGCGACGCTTTGCCTCTGCCTGCTTGATATCGACCTGATAAAGCTTTGTCATGGGATCGATAATGATTCTTTGGAGGTTATTGTTATTCGAGCGCTGGTATGAGAGAATCTCCCGCGCAATCTTATCAAAGTAATGCTCAACAGCTGGTTGCACAGCATTGGCGTTCGTGGCAGAGGCTTCGCGTAAAGCGTCGATGAACGCGGCAAGAGCATCGTTTGCCTCGGTCTGCGCGTAATGCGCCTGTTCCGCCCTTTTCAGTACCTTTTTCATCTGCAGGCGCAAATTTCCGTTCTTTTGCTCGAGAGCTTTTAGGGTCGCACGGAAGACAGGCCCGTCGTCACCCACAGCCATGTCGTCGCCTGGTTTGGGGCATGGGACGTCTACCTTGACAGGTTCCTTTGCTGCACTTCCAGCGAATGTAGGGAGCATCAAACTATGATCGTGCGCGCCGACCAGCGGCGACACTGGCTCGTCCGCTATCTCGCCAGTCAAACGAGAGTCGACTGAATGCGCTGAAGCGACTCGGATCCTCGGCGGAGAGGAGAGCGCGAACGGTAAGGGAGAAGTTGGTTGGCTGAACGTAGGTAGTGGTGCTGCAGTCTGTCAGTCCAAGCCAAGCCCGAAAGCGTACATCTCTGAACGTACCGGCGACAAAGTAGGAGAAGCTTGCAAGAGCGAGCAGTCTGTGAGCACGAGAGTCATACTCCACAAACTGTAATCCGGTCAGCACTTCGTGAACATCCCACAACCACTTTTCAGAACTCACACTGCAAAAGTTTCTCCAGCCCCCTCCTCTATCTTCTGTTGTTCTGGGCGGTTTCCACTTCCACGTCCATTCGAATGATACTGAAGGGCTTCCGTTGGTAGTATAGTCCCCCACTAGCTCGACGTTGGCGTTTTTGTGTAGATTGGGATCGGCTTGAAATTCTCGCGTGACGAGGTTCTCGACTTCTCGAGGGCTGGAGCCGTAGACGTACGTCAGACCAGACACGCTCGTGTCAGTTGCTGAAGGCTGGGAATCCGTAGGCATCGACCCAGGCTGCACGGTCGACTGTGACTGGCGCATTACAAAGGTGAAGGTGAAGATGAGCTCGTCGTCGTTGGTGAGCTTGAGCAGGAAGCCAGGCGGACCTCCAGTGGCAGGTATCTCTGGGTCCTACACAGCATCAGTCCCAGTGCTCCAAGCCAAACCTGCTCCAAGCCAAACCTGCTCCAAACACTAACCTGAACAAACTCAACAGGCACACCATCGCCAGTAAGTTGGGAGACGGAGAGCCTCGTGGCGGGGAATGCATTGGGAACGACGCTAATAGATGATCGCTTGCGCGGGCTTGTGACAACGAGAGAGGTGATCGAGACTACAGCAGGGATGTGGTCAGCTTCTGAGCATGTCGACAAAGACACTTAGGCGCCTTGCGCTTTCAACATACGTCGATTCTGGTCTCTCAGGTACAGAGAGGGCCCGTCTTCGGGTCTGCTACTGACAATGCCCATCGCGCGAGAGGCCGCGCAGAGACGGCAGGCGAGGAGAAGGGTGCCGCAATTCGTGAACGGCTTGGGGGAAGCCTCGTCGGGACAACAAAGAGGATTGGACGGAGCGAGTCTGTTGTCTGGGGATCGGGGGACGTAAGCCAGCCAAGGCGAGTTCGAGGTCAACAGCGACGGACGGTAGGCGATAATTGCTGGAGAGCGAGGTACAGTCGCAGCGCGGGGCTCAATCGCAGTTCGTCGGCCGTGTGGGAGGATGGAGGGTAACCGAACGCCGTCATTCGGTGGAAGATGGTCCGCCGAGCAGGGCCAGGGATGGAGCAGGGGTAATTAAATGCTGCTACGATTCGACTCGAGTGCTTCCGAAATATTCAACAAGTGTCTCGCAGATGGGGAATCCGCGATAAGTTAAGTGGTTGGCGGGATGCTGAGAGCCTGAGCTTGGGGGAGATGGAGTCTAATGAATGGAGCTGACTGGAACTACAGGTACTAATAACGTTTTCAATCAAAGAACGTACGCCTGGGCTACTACATGTGGCTGGCGTCAACCTCTTGAGGGTGCTGTAGCTGCTGCCTCCGGGCAGCAGTCAACTGAACAACGGCCCATTCTCCGCCAGCACAGCCTTCTGAGAATGAATCTAAGGTGGGGTAAGAGCTGGTGAGTGCTGGACAGGCACTTACTTACCTTACTTGCACTTGCCAATAAAAGGTAATGTAAATGAAGTTTTTTTGGCAAGTTTGGTACCCGTAAGGAAGGCCTGGTCTACCACCGGCAAGTGCACTGGCCTGTGAAGACTGGAGGCCGGTGGTGCACTAGTCCAGTCATTACGCCAGGCACATCATGGCGGTCGCATGTCCCCGGCGACCTCGCCCAGATGATCATGAGATGAACGTAAAGTCAAGAACGCAAAGTGAAGGTAAGGGAATTAGGCGCAGTCCGCCCAGCTATGTCGGTTTGTGGCCACAGCCTTCATTTCGATAAGCGCCCCAGCCACTAGTGTGACGAATGCGTCGACAGGGCCCAATACGGAGTAGATAGACGCAGATCTGTTATCTACAAGCGGTGCTCATAATTACGACTTGAGGCAAACAATTGCAAGCTCCGAACGTATTAATTATAGCCAGCCAAGTGGTAGCAGCTTCAACACCAAGACTGGATGCGTCCGCCAGTGGCCCTTGGCAGGCTTCTCCAAACGGAAATGGAATGTCCGACACATGCCCCTGCAGCAATTCACATGACGATCCTCCCACAGCAGAAATGGAATGGCCGTGTGATTCGCACACGAGTCTGCCATTCCCTGTGATCAATATCCGCGCGTTTTGATCATCAGCAGATTAATCATGGGGGGTAGCCGCGCGCACTAATATGGCCTCGATCGCGTCTAACACAGAGTCCTGCAACAGTCTTGAAACGTCCCTGGGCAGTCGTGGCGGCTACACATGGGCATGGGCGGCGAACTGCGTCTAGGGAACAAAGGGAGCCTCGAAGCATAAGTAGTTTGCTGGATTGACGAAAGCAAGTCGGCTGTGAAGTTTTGAATTCTGGATGTAATAACATCGCATTGTTGCTCTACTTATTGGACCCGAAGCTTAATCGACCAGCAATTATAAACCGCTGTGCTACGTACGAGCCAAGGAAGGGCGTCGATGGTACTCTGAGATATCGCCAAGTCTTTTGGCAATACGTCGCGGCTAATGTTTAGCAAGAGATGCAGTCTCTCACGAGACGAAAGCTGTATGGTTCAATAATGTCGCTTGCAAATTGCCTGAAAATATTCGATCCTCATCACACCAAGCTACGCTAATGATTCATGCGCTACGGGAGATGTTTTACGAAGGGCTGAAGGGAGCGGCCGAGGTGGCACTACTGACCGACCGACCCCTTTGTTGGCGTACAGGTAAGGTATGACGTTTTGCCGCCGTGGACCTGGCCTGGCCTCCACGCCACGAGAGGCTGGGCAGCATCCTCCAGTCAGGCAGGCCCCTTAGGAACTTCCAGGGTCCAATCCAGCCTTCTTGCTTGTGTTGCCAGGCGTTCGGGCAGGCCACCACGCATCATCCAGATACGGTACTGTGTCCAATCAAGCGATCCGGTTTTTCATTTGCATCAAACTCGATTCGAACAGGAGAACAAGCCTGTACGCCGGCACCCAGCCAGCGTCGTGGTAGCATGCTGCGAAGCGCATCCGATAGCCCCCATTGCACTTGGGCACCATCTCACCTCTGAAGCACAGCGTCTAGCACCATCTGGCACGACCGCTACACGACAATGTCGACCGCCTCGAGACAGTCGCGCCGTCCCAGCCGGAAGCCCGTCAATCAGAGCAGGGACCTAGGCGACCCGCGGCCGGGCTCGCGAGCGCACACCGTCAATGTCGAACATGAGGAAGCTCGAAGCTTCGCCTTGCGCACTGCTTTTCTTCACTACCTTCTCCAGCCCAAAGCAAAGCGGAAGCAGTATGTCAGCAATCCCAAATCAACGCCGCGATCGCAAACAAGTGTGGGACAGCTTGTCCAGGAGTATGGTTCGGGGGGCATGGCCAAGTTGCCGCACAACTTTGCTGCACCACTCTTGGATCGCGTCGGTAAGATCTTGCGAGGGCTGGAGACTTTACCTGGCTACGATGATGCGGCTGTGAAGCGGAGCTTTGCTGAAGCGTACACGGCATTCTCCGAGCGGAGCTTCCGCAAAACCATCGACAAGGAGAGGAAGTTTGAGCCCTTGATGCTCATCTTCTACTCACAGGCAACTAAGGCAGCGCAAAGGGGCAGAGCCCCCGACGACGACTCATGGAAACTTCTACCCGACCGCCACCTTGCACTCTTTGTGCGGATGGCTATCGACGTCTTGCGGACTTCCGGGCACGACCGTGATCGCCCCGAGCTGGTTGCGAGGATGAAGGCATTGGAGAACAAGCTCCTCACAAACGACCAGAACTTGGTGGGCAACGGCACAGACGGCCACGGATCGACAATCGAAGTTGTTGTACCCCTAAGCTACGACGTCAAGGACATGCCTCTAGTTCATGTGGTCGCCAGTATCTTTGGACTGAGTTTCTCAGAGGTACAGGCTGAGATCGACGAAAATAAGCAGACTTGGACCGAGGAAGCCGCGCTGAAGGATTTGAAGAGCTATCAGCATCGACTCAACTCAGATCTCCCGGGGGCGCTCCGGAGCCAGGACTTCGATGTGGACGAGGCTTTCGAGGAGTGGAAAAAAGCAGAGGCTCCACATCTCTCGCAGATGATGCTCGACATTCTCACAGCCAAACCGCTCCTGGCCAAGACCTCGACAGCACCCTCAGACCGTCCACAACCCAACCGGCCGCAGTCCATGTTCGCTGGTGATCAAGCCTATGCGGACCTCAGCCGAGCCCTGTCCAGCTCGGCTGACACCGGTTCAGCGTATGATCCGCACCTCAGTATTAGCTCTCTGCCCATGGGGGACACTGGTAGTATTCGCACCGTCGGAGAGGCTTTATACACCTTTATTCCTCCCGAGCCACGAGCCTTCTACAAGTATATCCTCCAGCATGCCATGACCTTTGATCAGATCCATGCGGATCCTGAGGTGGACTATCAGCCCCTATCTAAACAGTCACTCGAGCTGCTCGCAGAATTGGCGGTACGATGGCGGATCCCGCAACCGTCAAGGCTGATTGCGCTCTTGGAGGTAGCTGGGCGCAAGTTTCTGGACCAAGAAATTGTGGCGGAAGAATTGGACACGGTCTTTGATTGCGTCAAAGGCCCGCAGCCGGAGCTGAAGAAGCAGCCGCATATACAAGGTTTCGCCCTACCACTGACCGAGATCGACCACGCACGATGGCCGATGCGGGATTTCGTGCTATACCAACAGACTCTGCAATTGCTGCATGAAGCACTGTTGCGGGAATTGTATAATCTAATGGAGCAATGTTACGACGCCAGGCCACCGAACATCGGACCCGTCATGTTCATCTTGGAAAACCACATCACCACAGATCCAGCTTTCACCGTCAAGCAGCATGTGGCAGCTGAGTTCACTGAGCAGCTGTCCCAAGGTCTTCGCGAACGGGCGGTGGCGGCGTACCGTCGATATATGGAGGAAGAGATACCCCAGTACAAGGAAGACTGGGAATTTGGGCACGTCGTCAAGCTGGGCAAGTCCGTCACCAAGCTGTGCGACCGGATCAAGAAGAGATACAGGAACACGCCGGAGATTATGGGCGTTGACCCTTTCTACATTCTGGTCGACGAAGTATTTCCCAGTTTCGAGGGGGACGCCAAGGCCATCATCGAAGCCATCATGCAAACCGTGCAGGACGAGGGGGCCGAGATTGACATTCAAGATGGTTTCGAGCTTTACCGAGAACTCGTTGCCATCCGCCGTATCCACCGGAGTGAGCTCGAAGAGCAGCCCTTTGCCTTTGACATCGAGGAGCTGCTGGTCGGCTTTGTGTGGCGCTGGATCCGCATCGCGGAAGGGCGTATGGAGGACTTTGTCGAATCGGCGATCAAGCAAGACCAATTCCAGGTCCGCATCCAACACGCCGAGAACATACCAACAGACAGTGAGCGACATAGTGTTTCTATCATTGACCTGTTCATGTTCTTCAACCAGACACTGCAGGAGGTCTTTGCACTCGAGTGGAACAACGAGGAGCACCATGCGCGGTTCATGACAGCACTGGCCCGGGCCTTTTCTACGGGCATAGGCCGGTACTGCGAGATCGTGGAGCAGCGATTCGCCAAGGAGATGGACCGGCCGTCGGCTGAAGAGCTCGCGGCTGCGCAGCGGTCGACCCAGGAGAAGTGGATGCAATACGCAAAAGATGCATGGAACAACAAGGAAAAGATGGAGCCTTTCCATTTCTATCCCGAGGTAGGCGCTTAGGGACATGCACGCAAGAGTAGCATACTGACTGACAATCTAGTCATTCGTAAAACTCAACAACATCGAGTACGCTATGCAAGAGTTTGACAGGCTCGACAAGAAGATGAATCCAGATGGGTGTGCGGCGGTGATC